GCTTGATTGCAGTTGTTGCTGCTAAGGGTGGCCCAACCAGTTATTAGGTTTAGGGGGCAAACACTTTTTCACACAGGGCCATGTAGTTTTGGATTTTGTTTTCCCTTAATAATAAAAACCTTCATTTAAAAACTGCATGTTGTGTTTACTTGTGTTATCTTTGACTAATATTTTAATTTGTTTGATGATCTGAAACATTAAAGTGTGACAAACATGCAAAAAAATAAGAAATCAGGAAGGGGGCCAACACTTTTTCACACCACTGTATATATATATATATTTTTTTTTATTTTATTTTATTTTTTTTTTCAGTGTAGAGGAGACATGTATGACAATACTTGTCTTTTTCTCCATTTGCTATTTGTTTAATCTCATCGTTATCTATGAGAAACAATTGCGATATTAAAAGAGATTTATTTCTCATTGTTATTAAGCCTATTAGATGAAGGCTGCAGTAAAGGATGTTTCTTCTTTCTTTCCTCTGCAGAAGTTCAGGAGGAGAGTGCAGGAGTCGACGCAGGTCCTGCGGGAGCTGGAAATCTCATTACGGACCAATCACATTGGGTGAGTTCATCTGTGTGTATGCATGTTCATTAAATACTGCTCACACCGACACACTCCAATAGCCCTCATTGCAAGATGAATTGAAGCTGAAATAATGCTCTTTTGTGTGAACCGGCACAAGTAGCAGCCAAATGCTCCTGACTGGACTTGTCATATTTCTGCACAGTGGAATTTTTCTAGAATGCCAACCGAACAGGTTTTCGTTTTGGGAATCCCTACACAACCTAATCAGATCAGAGAAATGCTGGGGGGGGTTCTGAGATTTCGTGAGAGCTGAAAATCACACACCCGGTTACATGCTGGGAACTAGGATTGATCGGATGTGGAAAGGCTGACGGAACTCGGCGAGGTCAGGAAAATGTCACAACAGGAAAACAGGAAGATGTGATATTCCAGGACCAGCCAGCACACACTCTTTCCTTGTCATCTCATAAATGAGTGTTATTATTCATTATTTCAAAGACAGTTCAGACCAGACAAACATACTCCCAGAAACCCCCGAGCTGCCAGACAACCTGTTTAGAGATTTAGCTGCTGTACGTTACTAAACTAGATCACATAAATGTTCTAGCTAATCTAGACGAGTTAAGGCAGTATTATCTGCTCACAGAGGGTTCGACGAACACAAAACAACAGAATGGTACCTCAAATTCTGTCCCTAGAGTCTCAGATGTGCTCCTCATTTACCCAAACAATGCTTCCCCCATTTGTACATTGTTAAAGTTATATTTTAAGGGATAATGTACAGTCATCTGGTCATTAATACAAAATAAACCCATTCAAAATAATACAGAGTGCAATATTTGACTTTAGAATGCCATTGAATTAAGTATTCCAAGAACCATGTAATACAAATAAACCTTCATATTTGCTCATATGAGTTCCATATTCCATAGTTCCATCATAGTGCTCCTGTAACATTCAGATAAATACACTTTTCACATAGAAGTTAAACTGCTCATTAGAAAATCAAAAGAAATAGAAACTAATTTTTCTTTCAGAATTCTAATCACAACTGTGAGGTTTTCATGTGTTGGTCTACTTTTCACTGGTGCAAAGTAAAAAGGTGAAAACCAGCTTTTGATCATTCCTGGGATCCTTGCGGTCTTTGTCAATGGGAACGTGTGTGAGTGCGGTATTCTGGGATGTCTCTGCCGTGTCTTTGAAGTATCTCTCATTGCTGTTGCTCTGAGGGAGAAATCCAGCTACATGAACCCTTTGCTTTCAATCTCCGAACTGCGTTGAAGCTGTTTTCTAAGCTACTGAGATGCCGTTCCATGATACATATTTCATGATGTCTGTCTCCGTATGGAAGTGCAGTTTGAGAACGCTGGGACTTTCTGTGTGCTCTATGGAGTCTCTTGGATTATCTAGTCTATCTACTGCATGTTTACTTGTATAATTAGTGAAATAACATTATAATGTAGTAATGATAAATCGTATCCAAGTAATACAGTAGTGCGTACAAACTTTTGATGGACAGGTTTTTTTTTGTAATGGTCTTTTTTTTCTCTCTCTCTTTCTCTCTCTCTCTCTTTAGGTGGGTGCGGGAGTTTCTGAATGAGGAGAATAAGGGTTTGGATGTGTTGGTGGAGTATCTTTCATTTGCACAGTATGCTGTCACGTAAGTCACCCGTGATTGTACCGAACATGAACACAATGAACACAATGGCTTCTTTCACCCAGACTGCTGCCGGATCTTTGTGCCGCTCTGACTACATGCCTTACTGCTGCTCGGAGAGGACCCCAGTGTGTGTGTGTGTGTGTGTGTGTGTGTGTGTGTGTGTGTGTGTGTGTGTGTTTTAGAGTGTGAGAGTGAGTGTGTGTGTGTGTGTGTGTGTGTGTGTGTGTGTTTGTGTGAG